TCTCCTGAGCTACAGTTCCGGTGGCCAATCAGCGGCGAGGAGGCGGAGCTGCTGAGCGATCCCGGAGGTGTGGCCAGGTGACAGCAGCGTATCATCCCGCCCACACATCGCCGGAGACTGCAGCGGTGTCTCGGTTCCTAAGACCATCGGAAATATGTGTGTTTTCCGATGGTCTTAGGCGACCCCTGGGAAATGGTCGTTGGACCCCCAAAGGGGTCGCGACCCCCAGGTTGAGAACCGCTGCACTAGGAGGAGGTGTTGTAGACAATAAAAAGCTAACCGGCGCTACCTTGCTGTCTGGTGACCACAGCTGTTTAATTGAATTTGTTGGATGGAGATTTGGCCAACAGTGCTGTGGCAAAGACTTGCATCAATATCCTACCATTCTGTGGAAGGTGTACCTGTAATCTCTCCCCCTTATATGGCTCCATCATGCAGCTTTTGTTTTTCTCTCTAGCAAAACTCAAGGCCTTGGATGTGAGATGGTGTTCAGAAGATGTAGGTCAAGTTGTAATACATTTCTGCTGCAGGCCAGCTTGGGAATGTGGTTTTGGTTTTTACTCTAAATGCGGAAGGTGCATGGAAGATCGCTTTGTGCTGATGCTTAAATATAATGGCATTATGTCTTTTGCAATCTTTTCTATCAGTCTCGTGTATCGTGGCAGTAATACCTAATGTGAGCGTTGCACAGACGCCAAATTTCCTGAAGTTTGTAGACACCTGACCATCACAAACCACAGACTCTGTGATGTTGTCCACCCCCTTTCTCTTTTGTGGCTTTAACAGCCTCCACTCTTCTAGGAAGGCTTTCCACAAGCTTTTGGAGTGTCTGAGGGTATTTGTGCCCATTTAGCCAAAAGAGCATGTTTGAGGTCAGGTACTGATCTTGGATGAAAAGACCTTGCTCATGATTGGCGTTCCAGTTAATCTCAGAGGTCTTCAGCGGTGTGGAGGTATGTTTTTTTTTTTTTTTTTTGGTTTTTTTTTATGGAGCTGGCTTCAGGGGGGTGGACGGTTTTTTTATTTAATTATTTTTTTTAAACTACTTGTCCAAGGGACTAAATCAGGGTCCCAGTTTCCCTCATGACAATTTGCTTGTCCTGATAAAAAAAAAAAAGAATTGTAACCAGAACTGTATTTAGCCTCCCTTGCGGTATTCCCGAGTGTAGCTCGGGGTAAAGTTTCAGTACCACAAGCGGTGACCCCGAGCTACACTCGGGAATACCATGCGGTGCTGCTCCGCGATCCCTCGATCACTTACCTTGTCCTGCGCTCCTGCAATATCCCTCCTGCAGTGTCCCCGGCAATGTAATCCGGCGGGTGCCGGCATCTGTCATCTGGGTTCCGTCCCCTGCGAGCGTTGGGACATACGGGGGACGGAACGGCGGGAAATTTGAAAATGACAAAAAGTGACATTCACTAAATACACTAAAATCACATAGTATAACATTCCTGTATCAAACCATTTCACATACATTTTGTCCCGAGTGCTTTGTCCGGCGCCCTGCCTGCATTTTTACTGTTCTTATTGCCTGGAAACTGCGAAACGTCCATGGCGTCCAAAAAGCGTCCCTTTAGGTCAAAAGCGGTTTTAGACCGGCTAGAGAACAGCGACAGTAAATCAGAACCACTTGCAGAATTGAGTGATAATGATTCGTGGGGGAAATTCATCATCAGACACTGAAAACGATTCTGCGACTTTGCTCAGTGATGTGCGAACTTGGCGCTATATTTCAAATTTCAGTGTTTTTGGTTTGATTATATTATTGAATTAAATGTATTATTATTATATTATTATTTTTTTATGATTATTTATTAAATTATAATTTATGATTTCGTGTTTCAAGTACCCGGGATGTTTACTAGACTCTTGTTCGGACAGATTTCAGTGAGTTATTCCTAAAAATTAGAGGCCTACAATATAAAACGCCAAATTTCCATGCAAAATAATGGTACCGCTTTCAGTACCAAAAAATCTGAAATAATCATACCGCCAGGGATGTTAAATAAGGTTTTAACATTGCACTGTTGATCTCCTTCTCACCTCACTGACTGTCTCCAGCACCGCACCTGAGAACTAGCAAGGAGGGGGACAGTGTCTGAGTCCCAACGCTCAGCAGAAGCACATCTGCTGAGCGAATAAATGAGATGCTGGCCCCAATGAGAGAAAAAAAAACAAAAACTTAATTCCTTCAGTTTATCCTCGCATCTGGAAACACTTGGGGGCTTGTCGCCCAAAATAATTTCCTGCTGCTGCACCTTTTTGGGCGTCAAGCTTCACGTGAGGCAAACTAGCTGTGATTTGCCATACAACAATCGCGGCAAAACTGCACTGCGTTTTAGGTACGATTGAAAATAATGGCACCTGAACCTGCATTTTGAGATCGCAGGGAGAATCATGGCAATTCTGCTGCAATCCTTAAATGCCCGGGTGTGAATGGAGCCTTAGTCCCAGTTCACAATGATGCTGATCAGATGTGATCCAAAAGGCATAGTTTCGCATGGCATCTGAAAATACACTGTTTTCTATGAAGGACATCCACATCTATGCGTTGTGATTTTGATCCGGTTAAAAAAGGGTCCTGTGCGGGTTTGGTGTGATACGTTCCTAGCTCACACAGCATTCTGAGATAACTGTTCACATAGGATGCGATACAGTGCTGGTTTTGCATAGACGTGGCTGTAAGACAGATTGTCAAAAGGTAGTTGTTCAGCGAACTGCTGAACAACTGCGATTCAAATCACACTGAAAACTGACATGAAAATCTCACCACATAAAGTAAACCTTGCTGTTTGCCGGCAGCAGGGCTATATAGGTATATCCATATATATTTGGACACCGGCACAATTTTAGAATTTTTTCCAGGCATTTACCAAAACTTATTCAAGCAATAGTTATATAATGGATCTGGGCTGAAAGTGCACACTCTCAGGTTTAATTTGAGGGTATGTACATCCAAATTGGAGGAAGGGTTTAGGAATTACAGCTCTTAAGAGTAGCCATCCCCCCTTTTTTTTTTTCAAGGGACCAAAAGTAATTGGACAATTGAATAAAAAGCTGTTTCATGGCCAGGTGTGGGCTACTCCTTCATTATTCCTTCATCAGTTAAGCAGGTAAAAGGTTTGGAGTTGATTCCAAGTGTGGTATTTGCCTTTGGAATCTATTGCTGTGAACCTTCATCATGCTTTCAAAGGAGCTGTCCATGCAAGTGAAATAGGCCATTGTAAGGCTTCAAAAACTAAACAAATCCATCATAGAGATAGCAGCAACATTAGGAGTGGCCAAATCAACAGTTTGATCCATTCTGAGGAAAGAAGAACGCACTGGTGAGCTCAGCAACATAAAAAGGCATGGACGTCCACGGAAGACATTAGTGGTGGATGATCGCAGGATCCTCTCTATGGTAAAAAAAAAAAACCCCATTCACAACATCCAGACAAGTGAAGGACAATCTCCAGGAGGTGGGTGTATCATTGTCAAAGTGTACAATCAAGAGAAGACTTCACGAGAGCAAATACAGAGGGTTCACCACAAGGTGCAAACCATTCACAAGCCTGAAGAATAGAAAAGCCAGATTAGACTTTGACAAAAAAAAAAGCTAGTTCTGGAAAATCATTCTTTGAACGGATGAAACTAAGATTAATCTGTACCAGAATGACGGGAAGAAAAGTGTGGAGAAGGCTTGGAACAGCTCATGATCCAATGCACACAACGTCATCTGTAAAACGTGGAGGCAGTGTGATGGCATGGGCATGCATGGCTTCCAGTGGCACTGGGTCATTGGTGTTTATTGATGATGTGACAGAAGACAGAAGCAGCCGGATGAATTCTGCAGTGTTTAGAGATAAACTGTCAGCCCAGATTCTGCCAAATGCAGCAAAGTTGATTGGACGGCGCTTCACAGTACAGATGGACAATGATCCAAAACAGACTGCAAAAGCAACCCAGGAGCTTTTGAAGAAAAAGAAGTGGAATATTCTGCAATGGCGGAGTCAGTCACCTGATCACAACCCAATTGAGCATGCATTTCACTTGCTGAAGGCAAAACTAAAGACAGAAAGACCCACAAACAAAGAACAACTGAAGACAGCTGCAGTTAGAGCCTGGCAAAGCATCAGAAAGGAGGAAACCCAGTCTTAGGTAATGTCCAGACTTCAGGCAGTCATTGCCAGTAAAGGATTCTCAACAAAATATTAAAAATAAACATTTTATTTAGGATTATATTCATTTTGTCCAATTACATTTTAGCCCCTGAAAATGGAGGGACTGTGTATAAAAATGGTTGCAGTTCCTAAAATTTGTACTTGATATTTATGTTCAACCCCTTGAATTAAAGCTGAAAGTCTGCACTTCAAACTCATTTGGATTGTTTCATTTTAATATATTCTGGTGGCATACAGAGCCAAAAGTATGAAAATTGTTCCTGTGTCCAAATATATATGGACCTAGACCCTCCTAGATTGGAAGCTTGAAAGCAGGGCCCTCCAACCCCTCGTGTATTGTATTGTTACTGTCTTGTCTCATGTTCTGTCCCCCCTGCTACTGTACAGCACTGAGCATACCCTTTGGCGCTATATAAATACTGTATAATAATAATAAAAGAAAAAATGAAAACGCATGCCTGGCCCAGAACTGCATGACCCAGGCATGGGTTGATATGATTTGCACATCCTTGTGGCTTTGTTCACCTTACCTTGACAACCAACCAAGACAGCTTTTCTGCTTGATGACACCATAGACCAGTTGAATTCGTATCTGCTTCATGTTCCAGTTGTTTGTCCTCTTATGCGTTAGTGCAAATGCTGGCGGGGGGCCATACTGTCTGTTACATATCACAGATTTATTGTACTCCTCCTACTATAGTAATGGTAGGGTGAATAACAATTACGTTGAGACTTACCTAGTTTAATTACGAAGAGTAGCCAGAAATTGTAAGTGGGGAACTTTTTTTTTAATGACCAGCAAGACCTGTATGCATCTTGTGATCTCTTCTTATGAAATGAGTCTCTGGGTTCTAAGCATAATATCCTGTCTTTTTTTTCTCTTTCTACAGGGAGCAGATGTGAACCTTCCTCATGACACGCTGTTGCCACTGCATAGCGCCTGTATGGTGTGCGACGCGGACTGCGTAGAGCTGCTTTTAGAGAATGGAGCCAATGTCAGTGCAACCAATTATTTTCTCTGTTAAAACCGTTATCCAACTAATGTTTATATCCACTTCATATGGCTATCATAGCATCTTATGCCATGTTGCTGCTGTTTTTTGAGGTGCTACAACTGGCTACAAACTACAGATCCAAGGGAGTACAAATCGCTAAAGTTATGTTTTTTGTGAAGCCTGCTGATCTAGCTTAGATGAAGTAAATGAAGGGATCTCCATTCCCAGTTAGCAAAGTTCATAATTCTTTGTTTTTGATACAATATCTTGTTTTTATTACAATCTATGTCTCTGTTGCCCCTTCATTGTCAGAAGAGAATGGGAAGTGATGGGAAATTTCTTCAATGGGGACGTAGATGACAACATAACTTAGAGGGGAAAGGTCAAGTTTTTATTGCTGTCCGCGCCTTCTGGTCCCGGTGACCCATTCCCCTCATTTCTAGTCTGCAGTTTGACTATCAGAATTATGAATGGCTTGAATCATAATTGTGATACAGATTGCATCAACTGGCTGTTCTTCTACATTTTTGATAAAATTCATGACATTGATGAAGAGCATTTCTTGAATTTAGGGGTTTTTTTTTCCCCCTCTCCTTTTTTTTCTGACTTTTTATGTAAAATGGGTTTCAAGATTACTGACCCAATGTCCATAAAGGTAATTTTTTTTTTCTTCGTAGGACAATATGCATTGTCACATCTAAGTTATCCTTTCTTATAGGTAAACGCCAAAGATGGCCAATGCACTGGATGGCAATCAGGACACACCCTTACACTGGGCAGCCTTCAAAAACATGGACAGTTGCGTGCTGGTGCTACTGGAGGGCGGAGCCAAGGTGAACGCCTTGGATTACAATCAGGACACACCTCTGAGCTGGGCCGTCATGAAAGGCAATCTGGAGAGCGTTCGGTTGCTCTTAGACTACGGAGCAGTGCCTGATACCACCAACCTCAAGGGGATGTACCCTGCCGGGAGGCTCGCGGCTCTGATGGGCAGAGGTTTGGGCGGCGAGAGGGAGGAGCAATGCCTGGAACTTTTGCACAGAGCTTGTGGGAATCTGCGGATGAGAAGGGAAGGAGGTGTGCCCCCTGAGGCGGCACGACATGCTCAATTGTGCCAACGCCTTCTCAAGCTGTGTTCAGAACCTGGGTCTTTGAAAGCTCTTGCGAGGAGAGTGGTTAGGCGTAGTCTTGGAGAACGTCTGCTCTCAAATGTAGTGACTGAGCTGCCTGTTCCTAAATCTATCCAGAACTATCTTCTGCTTATAGAGTAAATTAAAGAGAACCAGTCATGACTGAGCATATGCACACATCTCCGTATTCATCTTAACTGTATAGGCTTGTTTATGAAAGCGGTATATGTGTCCCCTTCTTACGTTTTCCATGATATGTCCACTACATGGGCACAAGAAGAGGACTAGTCAGCTGGAAGTAGACCTGCAGCTGGACAGGGTACCTGAACTACTGTAGGTAAGTATGTAGCTGTGAAGGGAGGATGGCTTAGATCAGCAAATTATCAGAAAAAATATTTGAAAGCTCCTGTTAATTTCACCTTCGCTACTCCAGTGAATTTCACCAAAATGGTGACCTTTTTGTGATTTCTCACATACACCTTTCTCTTATGTGTTGTCATCAAAACCAAGTTACTCTGCTGGGTAGATATGGCTGGGAGAATGAAGTGCGTGTTTTACCCAAGTAACAATGGGATCCATCATCAACACTATTGTATTACTTTTCTTCTCCCAAGCAGTGGTGTATCATCCATGGGTGCAGGGTATTCACTGCTCCGGCAGACACTGCAACCATGGATGATACATGTCAGGGGCAGAGTTATTACCACCAGAGCAGATAGAGGGGTACCACTGGTCCTCTTGTATCTGTGTCTCTCCCTGCAGTAACTGAAAGATGGTTTCTCTCTCCCCCTCACCGGCTTTTAGCTGCAGGGAGAAACACAGGGCATTGCATCTTTCCGTATCCGCACTGATCTCTCTCTGCTGACCCCTGTGTGCCTGGCCCCTCTCCTGTAGCACTGCTGTCCCACCAGCTGCTGCGGGTACCAAGGCTGGATCTGAGTCCTGTATCTGAGAAGGCAATGTAGGGAGTCTGCTTGAGAGAAAAAAAGAAGCCTGGCACTGGCAGCTGTGAGTAGAGCTGTGTCGGTTTCTGTATGGAGGAGAAGCTGAGAGGGGCTTTGGAACGTCCAGCACTGATGGTGGTTCTATGGGCAAGGATGGAGGTTGCTGGGTGCCGAGGGGTGAGAGGAGCGGATGGGGGGGAATTCTGTGTGCACATGCTAAACACTCTGTACCACCCTCCCTGCACATGCCACCCACCGCCATACACTCTGCATCCCTCTCCCTGCACATACTACCCCCCGCCATACACTCTGCATCCCTCTCCCTGCACATACCACCCACCGCCATACACTCTGCATCCCTCTCCCTGCACATACTACCCCCCGCCATACACTCTGCATCCCTCTCCCTGCACATGCCACCCACCGCCATACACTCTGCATCCCTCTCCCTGCACATACCACCCGGCCGCCATACACTCTGCATCCCTCTCCCTGCACATACCGCCCACCGCCATACACTCTGCATCCCTCTCCCTGCACATACCACCCCGCCGCCATACACTCTGCATCCCTCTCCCTGCACATACCGCCCACCGCCATACACTCTGCATCCCTCTCCCTGCACATACCACCCGCCGCCATACACTCTGCATCCCTCTCCCTGCACATACCACCCCCGCCGCCATACACTCTGCATCCCTCTCCCTGCACATACCACCCGCCGCCATACACTCTGCATCCCTCTCCCTGCACATACCACCCGCCGCCATACACTCTGCATCCCTCTCCCTGCACATACCACCACCCGCCGCCATACACTCTGCATCCCTCTCCCTGCACATACCACCCGCCGCCATACACTCTGCATCCCTCTCCCTGCACATACCACCCGCCGCCATACACTCTGCATCCCTCTCCCTGCACATACCACCCGCCGCCATACACTCTGCATCCCTCTCCCTGCACATACCACCCGCCGCCATACACTCTGCATCCCTCTCCCTGCACATACCACCCGCCGCCATACACTCTGCATCCCTCTCCCTGCACATACTACCTGCCGCCATACACTCCCTTTTCCTCTCCCTGCACATACCACCCGCCGCCATACACTCTGCATCCCTCTCCCTGCACATACCACCCGCCGCCATACACTCTGCATCCCTCTCCCTGCACATACCACCCGCCGCCATACACTCTGCATCCCTCTCCCTGCACATACCACCCGCCGCCATACACTCTGCATCCCTCTCCCTGCACATACCACCCGCCGCCATACACTCTGCATCCCTCTCCCTGCACATACCACCCGCCGCCATACACTCTGCATCCCTCTCCCTGCACATACTACCTGCCGCCATACACTCCCTTTTCCTCTCCCTGCACATACTACACACTGCCGTAAACTCTGCACTGTACACTCCCTATTTAACATCACGTGCTGATGTAAATCAGATCACACTCTAACCACACCCCCTTTAAGGCACGCCCAATATTTAGCAAAATTTAAACCATGCTCACATTTCTATTTTTCCCTATGCCTAGGGCCCACATTTGATCTTGCACATGGGCCCACTGCTTTCATGATAGACCCCTGTGTCCATGGAAGGTTTTTTAACCTTTTAAAGTGTTACTAAACCCAGGGCCCTGCATTCACTATATCCGGTCTCCCAGGAGGACCCTGCATTCACTATATCCGGTCTCCCTGGACCCTGCATTCACTATATCCGGTCTCCCAGGACCCTGCATTCACTATTTCTGGTCTCCCTGGACCCCGCATTCACTATATCTATCTGGTCTCCCACAATTCACACAACATGGAAATGCAATTATTTTAGTAAATATAAACTGCTAAATACCTTTTCTCATCAGCAGTTAGAGCAATCTTGTTACTTCTATCAGTGTTCAGCCAAGCACTAGCTAAAGCTTGTAGGAGAAGTTTTCTTTGTGCTCTAGGAGGATGGAAAACCCCTGACCTCTGTCTGGACAGTGCTGATTGTCCCTGTGCTGATCAAATGCACTCTCCCAAAAACAAAAAAACCTCTAGCAATACACACCAAGCTGAGCATATGCAAAATGCCTACCATTCAGTCTGTCTTATCAGGAGATGAGGTGGTAGCTTAAACAAGGGGAGGAACAGAGCAATCGGGATCAAACGGCCTTTTTACACAATGCAGAGAATTAACTCCTTAGGTTGCACAGTGAGTATAACCAGCATGCTTTTCTGCATATACAGACAGATTTTACTGTTGTGGGTTTAGGAACACTTTTAATGCATAGAATGCATTAAGGTAGAGAAAAAAATGTAAGCCTTTACGACCACTTTAACTCCCATAATCAATTTGTTCTTTTAGGCAAGGAAAGGAATCGCACAAAAATGGACCTCAGCAAATCCTCAACATTTTCCAAATTTTTTTTTTTTTTTTTTTTTTTAATACCACATTTATTGTTATCCTCAATTTTTTTTTTTTTCTATTTTTTTTTTTTTTTTTTTTTTTTTTCTTTAATTAGCAAATACTACAGTGAGACACAGTGTATGAACTTTGAGATCACAGGAACATTGGTTCTCACACATTGACGATCGTAAACTATCTTATTAGTACACCAGTTCTACGACTCCAATACACATGAGTAACAATGCTTTACATTCCCACTATTATGATATCTCACAGTTGAGTTCTTTCCACAGAGATTCCAAGTTAAATGGTACCAGTACCCCAGCTGGATTACACATATTACATTTCAGCAACTATTTTTTCCTACCAACTGTGTATCTTGAGAGCCAACCATATCAATGTTTATCTTTCAATGGGGGGGGGGGGGGAATTGGTGGGTTTGTATTGTTTTAAGAGTTTGTATGTGAAATAAAACAAACTTTTTTTTTTCTCAATAAAAATTACTTCATGCAAAACTGGTGAAAATGTGCCCAAATTTTTCAAATTTTCTCCAAAATTTGGGATAAAATTCACTCATCCCTACTTGTGAATGGTCTCCCAACTGCTGAGTGTCTATAACACGTTTAGCTAATAGGGTACTGTAGCTGTTTACTGTCCAAACTTTGGAATTATATTATTTAATACTGTTTACATGCTTAGAGGCAGGGTTAAAGTCAGGTTTCAGCTAACTTTTGAAGGTCTGTATGAAGTGTTAGACACAGACCGATTTACATTAAACAAGACAAAAAATATGTTTTTCATAAATAAGCCTACATAGCTATAATTTAAGGTTGAATGTTCAGGTTCTTGATTAATCCCTGTCATGACTGGTTGTCTTTAAAGGGTTAGGCTACCCAAAATTGATGTTGCATTTATAGACAGATGGTGGTGCATTATCACACTTTGCCGTTTCTATATCTTGGGAACTGTAGTTGGGAGATATCCCCTCCTGGTCTTTTGACTGTGCCATTCCTCCATGTTGACATTTCCTTCCTTATGTGTCAAGAAGCTTCCAAATTTGCATGCCTCAACATAGAACATAGGAAACCTCAGCTTGGAAAGCGAGATCTACTTATTATGTTCAAAAGTGGAAAGATCTGAGAACCCTGGAGACCACAAAATATACACTGCTCAAAAACAAATTAAAGGAACACTTTTGAGAACACATCAGATCTCAATGGGGAAAAATGTCATGCTAGATATTTATACTGATATGGACTGGGTAATGTGTTAGGAACGTAAGGATGTCCCATCGTTTGATGTAAACTAAAATGATCAACCTACAGAGGACTGAATTCAAAAACACCCTGAAAATCAAAGTGGAAAAATGATGCAGCAGCCTAGTCCATTTTGCTTAAATTTTCATTGCAGCAACTCAAAATGGTCCTCAGTATGGTCCCCACGTGCTTATATGTATGCCTGACAACATCGGGGCATGCTCCTAATGAGACGACGGATGGTGTCCTGGGGTATTTCCTCCCAGATCTGGACCAGGGCATCACTGAGCTCCTGGACAGTTTGAGGTGCAACCTGGTGGTGTCAGATGGACCGAAACATGACATCCCAGAGGTGTTCTATTGGATTAGGTCAGGCGAGTGTGGGGGCCATTCAATTGTATCAATTCCTTCATCCTCCAGGAACTGCCTGCATACTCTCACCACATGAGGCCGGGCATTGTTGTGCACCAGGAGGAACCCAGGACCCACTGCACCAGTGTAGGGTCTGACAATGGGTCCAAGGATTTCATCCCGATACATAATGG